TGCGTAGACTGATTTACCGACCTTAAAGAATAGATTCTCAGCTGGTTGATAGATCCTTCCGCGGACCCTGGAAAGGAGACTATTAGGGGCTGGACCCCAATAGTCCCCAACACGTGAGTCAGCAGTTGGAGCAGGAGACAAAGACAGGACCTGAATTTAACCCCAGACCCTGTGGCTCTTGGACCTCTGTCGTAAGTAGAGGGTCTCCTGCCTCTAGGTTCTCAGAGTCCCTGTCCCCTTGCTCACACAACCAGGTTCTTCTCCAGCTCCAGTAGCAACTAGGTCAAGGCCATCTTATAACGAAAGCGGGAGGTCAGGGCTGGTAGGCAATGGCACACTGAGCAGATTGTAAGACTGGTGAGACTGTGTGGTCCTTCATGACAGGCCGTGTGAGAATGGTATGTCCTTGATTTCCCTGACTGCAAGTGTGGCTGTGTGGGAGGCACTGAGTATACAAGAAATGGGTGGAGAATTCCGAGTTTGAGTGAGAGAACATTTATCCCCACCTTCCCATACATTGAAAAGCAGAGTAGGGCCTAATATTAGTCCAAAATTTCAAAGTTTCTTCTCCCTACTCCTGTCAATGGAAACTGGCGGGAGTTGGCATTTGACTTGTTACAACTCAGGAATTGCCTCATTGCCAAAGCCCCTTTCCCAACTGCCGGCTGATGAACGGCAGCCTGCCCCATCTCAGGCCCTTCCTTTATATGGGAAATGCTGACTCACTCCATCATCAGCCTGTGCCAAAGGCAGTTACTGATAACAGCGACCTACAATAAAACCCAGGATTACTGAGCCACAATAGGGTGCTTCTAATTGCCCTCAGCTCCTCCCCTCACACTTTTATCACAGGCCAATGTGAGTTATCACAGGTACTATGGGTAGAAAGGTGACATTCCAGTTACTTTTGCTACTCCTTATGAAACAGCAGTTTTTTGTTTGTTTTGTTTTAAAGGTAGAAAGACCCATGCTATTACCCTGCCTACCCACTGTGGGCCCTAGTTTCTCCCACCAGAATATCAGTTTCTCTTATTCTCATGTAAACTACCACATAGAACTTTTTTTTAAATGTGTTTTTTCAGCTTAAGTTTATTGAAATTATGTCTTAGCTGCTCTGGGATCACATTATGACTCTAGTAACTTGGCATCATTGTCCTTGTCAGTGTGAGAGAGTTTGGAAGTGTAAGATGTACGGCTCAGATGCAGGGCAACCTCCAGCAGAGTCTGGTGCACTTATACAGACAGGAAAGAAAGCTTTGCTTTTCCGGTGGTTAACAGAAGGTTTGGATTGAGGCCTAGACTATGTGTCCTCACCCCCAGATCCCTCATCCCCTTCCAGTGTCACAGAAGAGCCCGATGCTAGAACCCACAAGTCTGGACCAGGGGTCCCCATGCTTACCGGCAGCCTGCTGCTCTTTGTCAAGTCAGCAGGAGTGTAAATATTTAGGTAGAGGCAGTCCTCAGAAAACGTGTGAGGAATCGTCTCCTTTCTGTTGGTGAAGTGCTCTGCGATTGTCTGTGCTGCCGCTGGGTCTTGGGAGCACCTGGGAAGGAGAGAACACCTGAGTTTCCACCAGATGGAAGCTGGGCATGTTGTCTGAGGCTCAGCCTTGTACCAGGGAGGTCTGAGCTTATAAATGAGGCTGGTATCAGTGTGTACGAACCTCTGAATTCTCTTGTGCCTTCCAACTCTGCAGAGTGAGAAGGACTTGACACCTTTCTCATTCCCCGGGCCTTTGGATATCCCAGGTCCAGAAGAGAAGAAGAGCTTCACATGCTGGCGTAGCCTGTTCTTGAACATGACATCTCCTGCATGGCCAGGACTGATGTCATGTTCAAGCCTCTAGTGGGCTTCATACAGTGGGTTACAGGGTGACATGGTACTCCATCAGGTAAATATCTTTTAACCCTTGGGAAACTTTCATCACCTAGTGCTATTACTTCTAATGACAAACACATACACTGTACAGGTCAGGAACTGTGTTTTATGAGTAAGCTTAGGAAAACTACATCTTTGCTCTGCTTCAACCACTGATATGCTGGGTGACCTAGTGTTGGCATCCACAGAGGTTTCCTAGTGAGATCTGAGCTTGCTTTACACAGCAGGGCTGCATTGGGGGATGGATGGCTTGACCACGTGCATGGTCATCAGGTGTCTGGAATGGTCTGCACTGACTGTGCTGGGGGGTGTGTTTTGCTCCACCCCTTGGCATTCCTTTAAAAGCCCTTTGGCAGAGACAATCAGGGCCCAATGGATTAGGATTCAGGCCCTCCCGAGGTGATCCTGTGTTTTCTATCTGTTTCTCTCTCCTCTAAATTTCTATCTAATATTTCCTGCTGCTCCTGCTCAAGAGTGCCCTGGGGGAAAGTGGTGGTGGGATGGCCACCCATACCTTAGGTAAATTATTTCCTCCACTGGGACTCAAAATGCCAGGTCCAGAGAGAAGTATTGACCCTAAGGGTCCTGCTGCCCTGGCCTGCTAAGAGTCTACCTTTTTCGTAGCCCAGCAATCACTGCCAGCTGCCCTGATAAGAGAGCTCAAAGGTCCAATACAGAGTTGAAGTGATGGCAATTATAAGTCCTTCAAGCATGCGAGCACTTACTCTTAATGAATAAAAGCCACATAAGGCCCACATCAACCCAACATCTATTATTATCCCCATTCATAGAATAAAATCTGAGGCACAGTGTTAGACAACTGCCCCAAGGACACTTAGTCAGTGTGCTGGTTTAAATGAGAATGGCCTGCATAGGTTCACACATTTGAATGCTTGGTACTCGGTAGCTGAAGTTTTCCTGGTCCTGCCTGGCCCACGGTCAGGACAAATCTCTCTCACCCGCCAGTCCCACAGCCAAGTAAACACACAGAGACTTATACTACTTATAAACTGCATGGCCTTGGCAGGCTTCTTGCTATCTAGTTCTTATTTCTTAAATTAACCCATTTTTATAAATCTATACCTTGCCATGTGGCTCGTGGCTTACTGGTACTTTCACATCTCGCTTCCTCTGTGTCTGGCTGGCGACTCCTGCCTCAGCCTTCCAGTTCCCAGAATTCTCTTCTTTCTTTGTCCTGCCTATATTTCCTGTCTGTCTACTGGCCAATCAGCATTTTATTTATCAATCAATCATCCACATCAGTACCCAGCTGACAAAACTGTTCGGGAAGGATTAGGAGGTGTAGCCTTATTGGAGGAGGTGTGTCTCTGGGTATAGGCTTGAGGTTTCAAAACCCCACACCATTCCTTGTTAGGTCCCCCAACTCTGGCCTGTGGTTGATGTTTTAAGATTTGAGCATTCAGCTACTGCTCCAGCACCATTTCTGCCAGAATGTTACCATGCTCCCTGCCTTGATGGTTGTGGACTCATCCTCTGAAACTATAAGCCCTCAATAAACTTTTTCTTCTATAGTTGCCTTGGTCATGGTGTTTACACAGCAAATAGAGAAGGAGCTACTAAAGTTGTGGGCCTTTGCTCATATTTACAAGGACAATGTCCCCAAATAGGGCCCCAGTGGCTTACAAAGGAGGGTAGGAGGTGGCATTCTTCACGAAGCTCCAGGGCTCTGCAGGCTCTGGTGGAGCAAACCTCAGGGATCCAAGAGGAGGCTTGGCAAAGGGGACTCCCAGGAAGACGGCCACAGGCTGTGTGAATCCTTCTAAGTGGACATACTTCCCCAGGACTTTGCCATGAACAGTGTTCACCACAGGTGGTGAGGATGGGTACCCTGCTGGACACGGAGAAAATGAGTACAGATCAGAAGAGAAAGGTCAGACCTGGGTTCCAGGCAGGCTTTGTCACTTTCTAGGTATATGATCTTGAACAAGTCACCTCAATCCTCTAGGCTATGGTTTTATTTCATGTAAAATAAAATATGAGCTGCATGCTGGATGAGACAATGAACAGGGGTGACCATGTCCTTGGGAGGCTGACCTCATTAGAAGGACCAGGTAAGAACAAGGTTGTAACTTGGGAGAGGGATAGGAAGTAAATACTGAAATTAGAAGGAATGAGGCTTTCTTATTGATGTCATCATAGAGAACCTCAGACTTACAGCAGCGGTGGGAAGATGAAAAGGGACGGTTATTATGCAAGAATAAGCATTAAGTGCAGAGGCCTAGAGACAGCATAACACAGGACATTACTGGGAAGAGAAAATGGCATATAAATACCACAAGAATCTTGTATTATCAGATGCACATCAGGAAGGACCCTGAATCCCTGGCTAGAGGGCTTTATTTAGTAGACAAATAAATAGAATAAAATAGCTATGGGATCAAGAACACAACAAGGTTCTAGAATATCCATTTCAAAGCTTTAAACATGACTATCCAGAGGGAGAAAGATGGGGCATCAGGCCTCTGAATACCCATTGACTCCATTCTTACTCAGCACAGTCTTTCCTTATCTCCCCCTCAAATTCTCATTTGTCCTCTTTCTACCCACTGAGGGTCTCCAACTTTTGCTTTGTGATACTTTTCCCTCAAGATCAATGAAATAAGCCCACATGATTTTGGGAGCATCTGTTATCAAGAATAGCCAGTAATGTTGAACCTCTATAGCAAACCATATTATAAAATCATGTCCATGAATTGGTTTACTAAAAGAAAATTCCCTTTGATTTCAGGCCACCAGTCCCACTGAGTTACCTTTTCTGAGAAGCATGCTTGTTAAAATGTCCATGGGTAGCAGAATTGCTATTCTGTGTGAATTCCAAGGGTCTACACTAGAATAGACTCTTCCATAATTAGGGAAAATAGTTATACAGGTCTGAAGATGTATGTGGGGAAATTTAAAAGACAGACTTGATCCCTAACTAGATATGGGGCCAAAGGGAAAGAAGAAGAAGTGAGTGTTACTGGCTCCCTTTAAGACAGGTACAGTTGGAGGCTCTTTGGGCAGGAAGATGCCCCCAAACACGGGAATTTCAATGCTGGAAGGAGGTAAGTGAGGGGTAGGCAGAGTTCACTACCTGAACATGAGGGTACACATTACCAATTTCTATACTGTAGGAAGCGAGTGTGAAGCTCAGGGACAGTTGGAGTCGAATGAGAACACCCACCAGGGCAGTGGCAAATGGAAGGCCAAGGGGAAGGAGGTAGGGACTGGCAAGAGTCCTGAGGAGGAGAAGCCAGACAGAAACCACTGGCTGTGGCCTGTGTTAACTCAATGAACATTTTCTACCCAAATGAAGTGGGAAGAATCTAGATTGCTCTGGGTAGAAAATGGGATGTATGGGATGGAAGCATAAACACAAATACAGCTGTTGCTTAAATAATATGGAATGTGCTGTGGGATGTCTTTCTGTGGGCTATGAATATGTGTTGCTAAGATTGATTGATAAATTGATAAATAAAGCTGTTTGACCAATGGCAACGTAGAGTAAGATTAGGCGGTACATTCGAATGGAAGAGAGAGACGAAAGGACAGTGAGAGAGATGCCAGCCACAGCCCAAGGAGCAACAAGATGCCAGGAGACCAGTAATGCCACAGCCACGGGAAAACACATAGATTAGTAGAAATGGATTAATTTAAGTTGTAAGAGCTAGCTAGTGAGAAGCCTGAGCCAATAGGCCACAGAATTGGTAATTAATATAAGCCTCTGTGTAATTATTTTATAAGCAGCTGTAGGACTGGGTGGGACACAGGAAAACTTCTGACTACAGGAAAGTGCACATATTGATCATATACTGTGTGCTGCAAGTACATACCAATGCTCCTTTAAAAGAAGCCTTGCTAAGTAGGAGTTGTCAAGGCCATACTAAAGATGAAGAAAGAGGAGTGGCAAGCAGACTGGATGAACTTCTTAAAGACAGACTGTGGATGGTCATTGTGAGGGGCAAGGGCAATTAGCAGCACAGACATGTTCCACTCCAAATTTGAACCCTTTCTCACTCTGCCTCATACTCTGTCCCAGCCTCTCACACTGTCACATAGCTAAACAGAAGGGAAGTCTAGAAATTTCAACAAGGCCATGACCCTTAATGGGGAAGCACTACTGTAGATTCTGGAGCTAGAGATAGAGTGAGGTATGATTCCAGGAGACCTTGGGTGAGCACACTCCCCTGGAAGCCTCAGTCTCCCTCCATGGCACAGATAGGTGCTGAGGTCCCATGATGAACCCCTGTACTACCATGGATTTGTTTTCTACACCTGTTGCTTTGACCACTGAGGCCCAGTTCATCTGGGATAAACCGTTAACCCTAGGGTCAAACAACCCCAGAACCATACCCCCAGCCACCTACTTATCCAGGTCTCCTAGTCTGTGCCTCCACTGATCCATCTTGATCACACAGAATTGGGTACAATTAAAATAAACACAGCCTCTAAATTCTCAAATCCTCAGAAAATGCCCCAGCTATCCAAGGTTACAGCACTTTCTCCTGACGCCTCTCTTCTTTGTCCTGTAAACCATGACATAGACCCTTGCCAACAGCTTCTATTCTCAGCCTTCTGACTGACCCCAGCACTATCCCCTCTGCCCTACTTCATTGATGTACCCCCCTTTTCAGGTAACTCCCAGTTTAAAAAAAAAATCATCTTTTCAAATGCAGCTCTTGTATGATTTTACATGTCAGACTTCCTATGGATAGAGTCAATTTTAAATCCCCCTTTCCTATATCTCCTCTAGACCAATTGCCACTCGGAGTGTTACAGACACAATTACTCATTTCACTCCCACTGCAGCCCCGTGGGGAAGGAGCTGGCACTGCAAAGTTAAGTTCCTCACTCAAGGACATAAAGCTCCAGGGCACCAAGCTTAGATTCACTCATGCTATCTGTCTGTGTCCAGAGGGCAATCACCTCTAAGAAACAGAACTTGTTTTTCATTTCCCTGTATGAGCCTGCACTTGTTGCTGTGGCCCAGGACAAAGAATTTCAAATGTGCACCTGTAAGTACTCACCCTGAGTCATGCAAGCCGTGAGGGAGATCAGGACCAAAGCACAGAGCCACATCATGGAAGGACAGTGGCTTCGGGTCCAGTCAGGTGTCTGGTGCTTGGAGGGAATGCCCTGATCCTGCCCACAGCTATAGACCAACCCCTGAATCCTGCCCACTCAGCCAATTTGCATAAGACAACCAGATGAAGATCCCTGACTAAGAGTTCTGGGTGTCTAGTGGGAGCTCTAAGCCACGCCCACCTAGAGTTTACTCTCTCTTGTTTGCACAGTCATTGCCCAACTCTCAGATAACAGAGGCCCATAAACTAACCCAAGGACTCCTTTTTTTTTTCCCTTTTGGCAATAAGATAACAAAATATGTTTAATTTATTAGGGATAAGCTGTCAAGGGGTCAAAGCACATGTCCCAAACTAATCTATCGGTATTTCACATATTCCTTTCTTCAGTAGACAGCAGATTTTAGGTACATACCATATAATCTATAAATATACAGATTGCATAAATTACTTCAGCATGGCTTCTGTGTAAATTGTGGCTAATTTACTTTTTATGCATATTATGTTATTTTTAAGTTTTTTTTTTTCATTTTACAAACCAACCACAGTTCTTCCTCCTTCTCCTTCTCTGCCCACACCCAACCCCCCCCCACCTTTCCCCACCCCACCCCCATCTACTCCTTAGAGAAGATACGGCCTCCCGTGGGAGTCAACAAAGCCTGGCATATTAAGTTGAGGCAGGCCCCTCCCCCACACTGCATTAAGTCTGAGCAAGGTATCCCACAATAGGGAATGGGCTCCAAAAAGCTAGTTCATGCACCAGGGATAAATCCTAGTCCCACTGCCAGAGGCTCCACAAACAGACCAAGCCACACAACTGTCACCCACATTCAGAGTGCCTAGTTCAATCCCATGCAGGCTCCCCAGCTGTCAGACCAGAGTCCGTGAGCTCCCACTAGCTCAGGTCAGCCGTTACTGTGGGTTTACCCGTCATGATCTTGATCCCTGTTGCTCATATGATCCTTCCTCCCTCTCTTGGACTGGACTCCAGGAGCTCGGCCCAGCGCTTGGCTGTGGATCTCTGCTGTGACATTCAAACCTCAGTGTTCTGTGAGCCTCCCAAAGGCAGAGACTAAGCATAGCAGGCAGGTGCCATCAGGCACAGGGGAGCTTTGATCTGGCATCCCCAGAAAGGGATGGGAGATTTTATTACAAATCAAAGCCTCCATGAATCTCAGCTCCAAGATTTGGACCCATCTCTTGGCATCCCTGAGCTTGTTCTAGGCCCATCTTTGGAAACAACCTTACTTATTCTTTATCCAGTGCCCCCTGGTGACTAAATACTGCCTTTCAGTACTGCTGTCAAGTGCCCAGTCTTCTTCTGCTCACATCTAAGGTCAGAGAGATCATTGCTTTGAAGAAGGGGGGTTTGGGGACATTCTCTTCTACAGCAAATATCCCTCTGTAGTCTAATCCTGCCTACCCATTATGCATCCATTCTTTGAACATTTACCAAAATGTCTGGCATTTCCTTCTATAGGAAAGAAAACCTGCAGGCCTAGCTCCCAGGTGCCTGTGATCTTAGTCTTCTAGGGTGAGAGGCTGCACTCTTCCCCACTGCGGATAGATGGCAGTGCCTCCGAATTGAGCTGTTTGTTAAGGCTTCTGTTTTGCCTAAGGGTCTATAACATCTTTTCAAAATAATTTGTGGAAAGTAGATTTCATCCGGCATTTTCATAAA